AAAAGTACCTCTTCTATGGCTCATAATTAGAGTCACTACCATAGCCATCTGACTTCCAAAAGCAATTTTACCTCAAGTACAAGAATTCAACAACAAACAACAACAAAAACACTAAAATCAAACTCCATTTACTCACAAATTCTTACATGATCAAATTCAAAAATATATATATATATATATATAGAGAGAGAGAGAGAGACTAACCAGACCAAGAGATACAACGATGAAGAGAGCTGAAGATGAAGAGGCAGCAAAACAAGGAATGAAGTGAATGGAGATGGTGGCTAGGGTTCATTACTCATTGAGAGTGTAGAGAGTGAGGAGATACAACGATGAAGAGAGAAACCAATCTGACTATGGAGAGTCGAATGAAGAGAGCAACAATGAAAAGGAAACTCAATCGATTGAGGAATTGATGATAATTGCGAGAGGCGAGACTAGAAGACAATGAGGGCGAGGAATCTCGCCGGTGCGAATTAGGGACATAATTATGGAGGTTCATGTAAGGGCCGACGACTAGTGAAGATCGGTGAAGAGAAAATGAGAAGAGAGAGAGAGGGTAGTGATGGAGGTGATGGCAGCGATAATGGTGTCACGATAGTCACAATGGCAGTGGCAAAGGAAGAAACAACGACATAAGCATGGGAGGCGGAGGGGGGGAAGAGAGAGAGAGAGAGATAGAGTAAAAATTAGGGTTTGGGAACCGTGTATGTATCATATATAAGGAAAAATATTTTGGACATTTTGCTTGAACTTGTCCTTTTGGACAAAGTATTTGAGCGCTTGGACTTTAGGCCAAATAAAATCTAAATTTGAATTTATCAATCAAGTGCCCTATTATAGCATGCCCAGGGGATACCCACGCACGCTAAACAATTTGAACCCTCGATTTCTTAGATCTAGTCTTACGAGTGCAATGTGAAACATAGATGAGAATCCAGATTTGGCAATTTTTTTAGAAAATTCATTTTATTGCAAAACCTTTGCCATAAATGGACTGCGTTATCAGATCTTAGAGTCGCCACCTACTATTTTGGAAAAATTAGGAAACCCGTGACTTGTGCCAATGACACTGTTCGTTGTAACCAAAGATGTTTGGCTCGGAACCTTAGGTATAAAGGAGAAGGTCATTAATTGAGCACCCCCGCTCACCCGATCAAAGATCGACCTCTACTAAATCATGATATGAATTTTATTTGCTTTATATGTTCATATTCCGATTTATTTGATACATCTTAAAATTTACTATGTGTGAAGCAAACAAATATAGACTGTGTTGTTCATTTTGGAATAGTTTGATTTTATATATTTTGAAAATGTTTTGAATAGTGTACAAAACATAGAAAATTGCGTTTTACAAACATGAAATCTCATTTTATTCCGAATCCAATAACACAACCTTCACCCACCGGCATGTATAGAGTTATATCAAATAAGTAAATAGTCTCATGATAGGATGCTAAACATAGTAAGGAAAACACACACAAGTGGGATGCTAAAGTATAAAAGCTTACATATTTACCAACATTCCGCAAATAGTTACAAAACAAAATTAGTAAAAAATGCATGATCCTATATACAAAATCCTAATGCAATTCACTCATAAAACGCAACTAAAGATCCAGTTTCTAATATATGGCATGTAAATCATCTCAAGAACATAAGGTAGCGCACAAAATCTCATAATAATCGATTAAATTCACAAATGCAAATGAACCGAATCTTGATGCATGAAATATGGATGCAAAGCGCGGGTATGATAAAAAAAAATATGATGCTATTTATAGAATATAGAAAGCGAGTAAATAAAAGGGATAGAAAGAAATGGAGTTGGAAGACATATATAGAAAGGGGTAGAAAGAAGCGGGGGTTGGGAATTATTACAACACTGAATACAAAACCAAATAAAAAAAGACGTGGATTGGGAGATTATTACAACACGAACCGAATCTAACAAATCATACGAATAAGATTATTCACCGGTTATTGTTCATCCAGAGCACTATTCATCTGTCGAAAATTATTCTGTCCACTATTGGGTAACTACTCTGTTTTTCTCGGGAAAACGTATTTTACGGGAGCACTATTCATCTAACGGAGTACTATTCACTGCGGTAGGTACTATTCACCCTCCTTGGTCATTATTTATCTTATCGGGCATTTTTTCCATTTGTAGTTACTATTTATCACCAGAGGTACTATTTATCATTGGGGTTACTATTCATCACCAGAGGTTACTATTCACCGTCGATCACTATTCTTTCAGCGGGGTCATATTTCTAACAAATTAGGTGGTTTCGATCGTCCATTTAAAGCAATAAATTACAAGAGTTTTTGTACAATAGCAAATTACAACAGGTATGTGGGTGGTGCAACCTTTCTTTTAAAAGAGGTAAAAAAAAAACTATGAAAAGCAATAAAGGAAGTATTTAAACAAGTTATATTACAATTTAGATTAAATGAAAGTTTGTGAAAATTCACCTTTCGGGAAAATGATAAATTTTCTTATTTCCAAACTTTCTTTTGATCACCCGAAGGTTGTGGAATATATTCTCAATTTTCTGTCTAAAATTTAGAATTTCAACTTTAATGATGTTTTGCTGTATTAGTAAAAAAGTAATAAAGAGAATGGAAATAAATGTTTGATGTAGAAAAATATCTAAGACTTTCTTTTTTCCCTCTCTTAAAAGGGAAAATTTTCCTTTCTTTCTTTTATCCGTTCTCTTTCTTTTCTGATTTTCTCCCTCAGAATTTTTTCTTCTTTTTTTCACTTGAGCTTGCTTGCCTTTCATAGGCAAACCCACCAAACCAATAATAATAGAATATGTACTCTTTCCTCTCAAAATATTATTCCGTTATTTTATTTTTTATTATCTCAAAATATTAGTCTCTTTTTAAAAATTAAGAATTAAAATAATATGAATTTCTTATTTCGTTCTTCTTTTAAATTTATTAACAATACAAAAAGTATAAATATGACAATTGATATTCTCAAAAAATATACTATCAAAAGATAATTTTGAAAAATTAACTTTTTTAAAATGTAATAATTGTATTGCTAAAAAAAAAATTAAATTTTCTACACAAAAATAAACTATTATTTTAAGACGGAAAGAATAATAGATATTATATAATATATATGTATCTGTATAGATGTATGATGCTACAGCGCTTGAGGTCGGCAAGTGCGACTTCAAATTTGATTTGTTTTATTATTATTATTTTTTATAATATATATAATATAATATATAAAATTAATAGTGTTAATTTATATCAATATATATTAAAGCATCAAAAATATATACAAACACATAAAATTATGTAAAATTATAAAATATTAAACTAATAAAATATATTTTGGTAGTTTAAAATAATTTAGCTAAAACGGATGAAAGTTGGGATTAAAGTTTAAATTCGATTTTTCTGTTGAAAATTTCACAAAATAGCATATTCTAATTTTCATTATCGGATGTTCAAAAGAAAGTGGCCAAATGTTAAGAACGGTCAAAATGAGGTGTCTATACCTAAATATATATTTATATATACGGAAAATTGCATTAAAGTGGAGGTAAGAAATATTTGTTACAAAAAAAAAAAAATTGAAAGTATTATAAATGTTTATTATTCAAATCATAATTTTTTTTCACTAATATAAAATAATTTTTAAAAATCTATCCGGAAGGTAATTTGCCACTATATATATAATCAACAATGCTAGAGGGTCACAATTTTTATGGCCACAATAGCTCAAAACTGTCAAAACGACGTCGTTTTGGGTGCAAAACATGCCAAAACGACATCGTTTTGGCAATTTTGAACCATTGTGACCACAAAAATTGTGGCCCTCAAACATTTTTCATATACAATAGGGAAATTTGATATCAACTTATAATTTAAAAATTAATTACAAATAAGTAGTAAAATTTACAAATACTAATAATTAAAATTATAAATTTTTTTATTAATATGTAATATTTTTTTTCTTAAATTATCAATGAGTGGTAATATCTCTATTAAAATTGTTATATCTACACAACTTTTCTCTCTAAATCTCTCAAATGAGGTGACAACACAAAATGCAACTTTCATATCAATTGCTATAGGTTAGAGTGTGAATTAATTTTTGAAATTTTATTTGTCACATAAGAGTAGAAATTGTAAAAAATAGAAATTATGACCCAGGGGTGGATGGCATTGTGGTTAAGGCTTGGGGTTTTAGCCTCAAGGTCACAGGTTCAATTCTCTCTCCCTTGGGTCAATTTCTTGGGCGAAACACAGTTGGTTAGGAGGTTGGACCTCAAGTTGTCTAATCAGCACTTGGTGTGGGTTCAATGCTCCCCTGCTGTGCGAGTCCTGACTTAAGCGGAGCAAGTTGTCTAATCAGCACTTGATGTGGGTTCAATACTCCACTGTTGTGCGAGTCCTAACTTAAGCGGAACTTGTCTTGGAAGGTTGGGGCAAGTTCTCAGGTTATAGTCTTCTCGTTCGGAACGGCTAACAGGACACCCTAGTGGGGTGATCTCTGCAAAGGGCGCTGTCTGGACTTGCAGAAGTTCTCAGGTTATAGTCTTCTCGCGCGGAGTTCTGACTTAAACAAAGTAAGTTGTCTAATCAGCACTTGGTGTGGGTTCAATACTCCCCTGCTGCGCGAGTCCTGACTTAAGCGGAGCTTGTCTTGGGAGGTTGGGGCAAGTTCTCAGGTTATAGTCTTCTCGTTCGGAACGGCTAACAGGACACCCTAGTGGGGCGATCTCTGTGAGGAGGCGCTGTCTGGATTTGCAGAAGTTCCCAAGTTATAGTCTTCTCGCTCAAAACGCCTAACAGAACACCCTGGTAGGGTGATCTCTGTAAGGGGCGCTGTCTGGACCTACGAGAGGGTAGGGAGGATTTTCCTATTAAAAAAAATAAAAAAAAAATAAAATAAAAGTAGAAATTATATGAATGAATTATTTTTTTTTATCCCTATATAATACAACTGTCACCAACCTTCGTCCCCGTGGACCTAGGGTTAGGGTTTAAATATCTACATACATTCCCCAATTTCATATCACATGCTCTCTCTCTCCCCACCTGACTCTCTTATCTGTATATCCATCTTCGCCTCGAAACTATAAATCAATTTTTATTTTTGTAGGATTTTATCGATTCACTTTCCCCACCAACGGTTCACCCTATAAATTGTTTAAAATTTTAAGGTTTTGAGGATGAGGAGGAGATCTCAATACCTTGATCTAGGGTTTTGGGGTTTCAATCCCCAAACCCAAGTTGAGATCATCAGGGTTGTGAATTGAGCTAGGGTTTAGATTTCCATAATCAATATAATTCACTCTATAAATAGTTGAATTTTGGGGGTTTTCAGGATGAGAGCAATGCCTGTGAAGACCCTGATCTAAGCTTGGAGTTTCCACTTCCATTCCCAGTTTCCAGATCATCAACATTGTCAACCATACTGGGTTTATAGTAATTTCTCTTAATGACCAACTATTTGCTATGTGTATTTGATGTTTGGTAGGGTTTGGACTTTGGAGCTGGAAATTGGCTTACAAGTTTGGGATTAAAGGTTTTAATTTCTTTTTTTCTTTTTTTTTTGGTAAATTTTTCAATCCCAATTTTAGGTAATCAATACTGTAAATGATACTGGGTTTATAGAAATTCACCTATCGAGATAGGGCTTTTAGCTTTTGATCAATGGATTCATTTGGGTTCTTCACAATCTGCATGCTCCATTCAGCTATTACTGTAACCTGTGGTGCTCTGATAATGTTTTATCTCAAAGAAATCTCTGTTTTCGGCCATGGTACCGAAACAGCTCAAAAGCTTATGGGATCAACACCACACGACCAGTTGTTGATACAAATATCTGATTCGTTTGCCGGGTTGCTTCTATTTGTGATTGGGTTACTGCTGTTCATGGTAGCTTTTGTTAAGGACACAGCGTTTCAGAGTTTCTTTGCCAAAGGTTGTGTTCTTCTTCATGTCTCAATGGCCCTCTGGAGGGTGTATTTTGAGAGGAGACTCGACGATTTGGCTCGAGATTGGCCAAGGCAATTAGTTGGTGATTTTGTGTTGGCACTTTCATGGGTTTTCTTTCTGATTTACTCCTGGAGGGAGGAGTATGATTAGCAGGAAGAAGAAGAGCAATTGACTATTGTGGTTGAATGCCTTTTTTTATTTTGATATGATGTCAAAGGGTTGTAAATTTGTTTCTTAATTGTGCTAAATGGGAAATTATGTGGATAAAATGGAATTAAAATGATCAACAATTTGGGTTAATGAGCTGGGTGTTGTTTATATTTGGAATGATCTGTATTCAGAATTGGACAATAGCACGACTTGAATAGATGGGGTTTGTATTTTCTGAATATATTTTGATTCTGTTTGGAGCTGTGGAGAATTTTGCTTACAATCACATAGCCTTCGTTTAATATAACTTTTTTAGCTGGCTTTTTATATTGGGATATTTTTAACTTGGATATGACATTTTATAAGAAAGTGTAATGATTATAATTTGGATATCACATTTTATTTTATTGATTTATATAGTCAATTTTATTTTTTTGTACTTTTTTTAACCAAAAATGTTTAGCCAAACCAGTCCTTAAATGGTGTTCTGCTGTTTGCATGTATGCTCTGTTCTAATTATGTGTAGTGTTAGCAAATTTTATTTTATTTATTTATTTATTTTTATCACGCTTGATGAAAAGAGGTGGTAATTTTCTTATTGTCAATTGTCATATGTAAAATGTGTTGGTATCTTTTGACAATAATATTAGATAAATATATAAAATAAAATTAACTAGAAATAATAAAATATCTTTTTATATATTATTCAAGAATGAAATAGAACTAAAAATACAATTAGCTTACATCATGAACCTCGCATAAACAAAATCACTAATAAAATAAATTATTAACATGGATAACTGAAGATTAAAACTCGTCAAGGTAAAATAAATTTTGAAAAATTAAAAAACAAATGACAAGAAAAGAAGTATATCGAAAACCTGTGTAACCGTAGTTTCCTTAAAAAAGATTCGCCGCCTCCCCGATGGGTGCTGGAAGTACGCCTACGTCTTTCTCCTAAGATACGACAATCGAAATCAGCTAATGCAAAAACACTTTCTGAATGGTTTCAACGAAGTTTGACAATGGCAGTACTCTCTCTCTCTCTCTAACAAGAATCTAAGAATAAGCTAGCAAAAACAAGATAGGAAAAATCTCTTTCTTATAAAAACCATCTCCAACTTTATTATCTCAAAACACTATCTTCATTTTTCATCTCAAAAATTTCTCCAAAATAATCTTACCAAGTTGGAGGAGAAAGACCTCTATTTATGCAAGTATGAGAGTCCCTACCCATGAAGGCCATGTCATCAATTGCCTAAGCCCATCAAATGTCATCAACTCTAGCCATTAGGGCTAAAGTTACAAATGTTCAAAACTTCAAAAACATTATATAAATCATAATGTGTATATAATGTATAAGTTTTGAGAATTAAATCATATGGGTTGCAAAATGGATACAGGTGTGAGTCACAAACCGTTCCAAACCCAATCTCAAACACATGCATGAGTTAAGTCCAACACAACACTGTAGACACCCTATTTTGACTGACTTTAAGAGTTGGCTCTTTCTTCCGAACACCAAATGATAAAAATTGAAATATGCTATATAACGAATTTCTTAGTAGAAAAATCAAATTCGAGCTTTAATTGCAATCTGATACCCGTTCTAGCCAAGTTTTTTTAGACCAGTTTGAAAACTTATTTTATCCACTTGTCTATTTTTTCAGATATTTTTCCATTCGAAAATCCATTTCATTGCTGAGGGAATTTTTTTCAGAGTCGACAATAAAGATATAATTTTTTATTTTCAAAAAATAAAAGAAAAATGAAAACATTCTTTCATTGTTGAAAGAATCTTGACGTTTCAAAGATGATGATATTTTGATTTATCTTGGATATGTTTTCAAAAGAAGAAAATGGGAGACAAACATTGGATAAGTATCTTTGATTTTTCTTTGAAGAAAATGAGAGACAAAAACATTAGAAGAGGATCTTCATATTTTTTATATATATTCTCTTCACTCTCTTGAGGAGAGGAGAGAGTTAGTTTTTGAGAAAAGAGGGAATTTTCTCGAGAAAGAAATAAGGTTGCTTCTTTTTAAAAAAATAAAAAAATAAAAAAACACCATTGAAGAAAAAAAAAATTTGAGAGAAAGAGAAAAGAGAAAAAACTCCATTGAAGCTAAGACTTGAAGCTTTTCTTTGAGAATTCAAAGCATACTCTTAAGGCAATGTTTGTTTAGGCGGACATGTGCTTGGGATTGGACTAATAGTCCAATAAAATTATTAATGATGTTTGGTTAAAATATTGAAGGACGGACTAATAATCCATCTGGATATGGTATCCCATATATGATGGACTATTCAATCCCACAGAGGCGGATATGATGTAAATTATGGGACTAAGCCAAAGTCTAGACCAACTCATCAAATGCCCAAATTAACCCTGACTATATATATATTACCTCATTTAAATATTTTTTTAATTTGTAAATATTTTAAAAAATTAAGAAATATTTTAAATATTTTTAAAAAAATCCAAAACAATTTCAAAATGAAACTAAGAACATGATATTGACGTATTCTTTGCTGGAGATGATCTAAGAACAATAATATTATTATTTTTAACAATTATGAATGGTAGTAATCATTAATTACCACTATAGACTTTTAATTCAACATGTCTACAATTGGTATTTTGTATGTATCTTCTCATAAATATATTTGCTCCTTTTTCTATATTTTCTAATATCGTTATTTTTCTAAATAGCTATATTTCATAGTTGAATGATTTTTGATATTTTTTTTTTGTTCAAAAAAAAAAAGTTAAATTTTGTTTAAATGAATATCTTTTTGAATTTGGACAGTGAATGGTTGGATGATTAAAATAGTAGTGCATATTTTTTAATGGTTGCTTGTATATACAAATTTTATAGTTAAATGATTTTTGATGTTTTCTGTTAAAAAAAAAGGATTAAATTTTGTTCAAATGAATACTTTTTTGAATTTGGTTCTAAATAGCTATATTTCATAGTTGAATGATTTTTGATATTTTTTTTTTGTTCAAAAAAAAAAAGTTAAATTTTGTTTAAATGAATATCTTTTTGAATTTGGACAGTGAATGGTTGGATGATTAAAATAGTAGTGCATATTTTTTAATGGTTGCTTGTGTGTATAAATTTTATAGTTAAATGATTTTTGATGTTTTCTGTTAAAAAAAAAAAGGATTAAATTTTGTTCAAAGAATACTTTTTTGAATTTGGACAATGAATGATTAAAATAGCAGTGCATATTTTTTTAATGGTTGTTTGTGTATATATAAATTTTATAGTTGAATGATTTTTAATTTTTTCTATTAAAAAAAATGGGGGTTAAATTTTGTTCAAATAAATACTTTTTTGAATTTGGGCAATGAATGATTATATGATTAAAATAGCAGTGCATTTTTTTTAATGGTTGCTTATGTATATATAAATTTTATAGTTGAATGGTTTTTGATTTTTTCTATTAAAAAAAAAAAGTGGGTTAAATTTTTTTCAAATGAATCGAAAGGGATATGGAGCAACAATAGGAAAATTTGCTTTTTAAAAATTATAACACATGCTAGTGCAAAATTTTACAACAATTATAATAGGGGTATTATGGTTAATATATTGGATGTCCCATATCCTGTCATGTCCTATCCATTCTAATATACTTAAACAAATATCGAATTGGATAATATTTTGTTAATCCTCCCTTATAATCCTAACTCAATCCAAACATAGGATAGAATGCACAATCCAAAAGGATTCATAGTCCTAAGACTATTAGTCATGGAAATGCTAATTCAACCTACTCTAGTCCGCCTAAACAAACATGGCATAAGGGTGCTAGAAAAAGAGTTTAGAAATCATAAAATTTATCATTTCCTCCAAAGGTGAATTTTTGCAATTTTCTAATCTTTTTTTTTTTTTTTCTATTTCTATTTCTCTTGTATTTAAGTATGTAATATACCTTGAACCACCTATCCTTAGATGGCTGGTTGAACCACCTATCCTTAGATGATGTAGTGTCTTTAATTTCTTGTATTTTATTTCTTATTTTCTCATCTTCTTAAATTATATTTTCAGAATTCTCTTATGCTTAAATATGTGATTTAACTTGTAGAAATGGTTGGTTGAACCACCTATCCTTAGATGATGTAGTGTCTTTAATTTCTTGTATTTTATTTCTTATTTTCTCATCTTCTTAAATTATATTTTCAGAATTCTCTTATGCTTAAATATGTGATTTAACTTGTAGAAATGGTTGGTTGAACCACCTATCCTTAGATGATGAATATTTTGTTAATCCTCCCTTATAATCCTAACTCAATCCAAACATAGGATAGAATATACAATCCAAAAGGATTCATAGTCCTAAGACTATTAGTCATTGAAATGCTAATTCAACCTACTCCAGTCCGCCTAAACAAACATAGCGTAAGGGTGCTAGAAAAAGAGTTTGGAATTCATAAAATTTATCATTTCCTCCCAAGGTGAATTTTTGCAATTTTCTAATCTTTTTTTTTTTTTTTCTATTTCTATTTCTCTTGTATTTAAGTATGTAATATACCTTGAACCACCTATCCTTAGATGGCTGGTTGAACCACCTATCCTTAGATGATGTAGTGTCTTTAATTTCTTGTATTTTATTTCTTATTTTCTCATCTTCTTAAATTATATTTTCAGAATTCTCTTATGCTTAAATATGTGATTTAACTTGTAGAAATGGTTGGTTGAACCACCTATCCTTAGATGATGTAATTTCTTAATTTCTCGTATTTTATTTCTTGTTATTTCATCTTCTTAAGTTATATTTTTGAAATTTTCTTATGCTTAAACATGTGAGTTAATTTGTATAAATGGTTGGCTAAGCCACCAACTCTTAGATAATGTATATTCTTTATTCTCTTATATTTTCTTTCTCTATTTTTCCTTTGAATCTATAAAAGCTTCCTTATTAAAAAGTGTTAAAAACTCTCTTCTCGATCAATTTTGAACATGGAAATGGATTCCACATCCATATTCCATGAGTAAGAAGTTGAGTCTTAAACTACTTTTGATGAGTTATATGTATTTCCCCTTTTCTTTCTTATTTTCATAGAAGTCTTATAGAGCTTTCACAAGCTTTGTGAGGCTTCCACTTTGAAATTGTGGCAATCTGCTCTCTCCAATTAATAGTATGGATTTTCGTATTAATTTACTCTTATTCACAAGAGATGAATGAAGCTTTCCATTTATTTCTTTGGTTTGGCATTTCCTAGCTTCAATTTCC